CCACCACATCTAAGCACACCGCGGACCCTGATATCTCCGCACCCCTCATCTTCTCTCCCCTCCTCTCCTCGCCCCTCCACATCCCGTCACCTCTCCCGCCCCCATCCCATCTCCTATCCTTCCCCCTCACTTCCCCTCCTCTCCTCTCCTCTCCTCTCCTCTCCTCTCCTCTCCTCTCCTCTCCTCTCCTTTCCTCTCCTCTCCTCTCTCCTCTTCTCTCCTCTCCTCCCCTCTTTGCTCTCTGCTCCTTTCTCCTGACTGTTCGCAGGCCCTCAAAGAAACAGCCTACGGCCAGGGCCCCCCTCGTCTCATCGACGGGATTATGTTGACCAAGTTTGACACCATCGATGACAAGGTGAGAAATCGTGTGACATGCGAAACTTCAGCTCAGCTGGAGGGCAGGTGGGAGCAGCCGTGTCGATGACGTACGTGACCGGCCAGCCGGTGCTGCTTGTGGGCGTTGGACAGGTGAGAAGTGAAGAGAGAGTGCGAGGAAAAGAGGAGGAGGAGCAACAGGGGCAGGGGCAGGGGCAGGAGGAGAGGGGTGGTGGTGAGAAGTGGAGGGATTCTGGCAAGTGGGCAGGAGGCGAAGGAGTTTGAAATGGATGGAGGAGGGAGAAGAGACGGAGAGAGAAGACGCGAGAGGAGGAGCTAAGAGAGTCTGACGGGTCTTTGCAGACTTACACCGACTTGAAGAAGTTGAACGCCAAGAACATCGTCAAGCTTTTGCTGCGTTGAAACAAGTAGATGAGAAGAAGAGAAGAGCAGTGAAGTGAACAGATGAGATGAGATGAGACATGCTATGTGAGAATGTCTGTCTTGCTTCAATTAAACATAAAAATAACAATCCTCCTCCTCCTCCTCCTCCTCCTCCTCCTCCTCCTCATGTCATCTCATCTTAGTCCTGGTCACATTTACTTGAGAAGCTCCGCAGGCGGTGCTGCCAACCATCGTCAGGATATTCTCCTCTCCTCTCCTCTCCTCTCCTCTCCTTCCCCGCCCCCGCCCCGGCCCCCTCCCCCTCCTCTCCTCTCATCTCCTCTCCTCCCCTCCCCTTTCTCTCTCTCTGCTTTTTCTCACCTCGTCCTGCTCGATCGAAGTTGGAAGATCGATTCGCCTGCTCAGCTGCTCAGTGACCCTGCTCTTCTCCTTCCTCCTCCCCTCCTTGACAAATCTCCTCTCCCCTTCCTCTCCATCCCCCTCTCTCCTGTCCTTTCCTCCGCCTCTTCTTTCCTGCTCCTGCTCCTGCTCCTGCTCCTGCTCCTGCTCCTGCTGCTCTTCCTCCTCTACCTGCAGTCTTCTCTTTTCCTTCTTGTAGGCCATCCAGAGCTTCACGAGTCGCCCGATCACGTTGGCGTACTTGTGCTCCATCAGGCATTTCCCCGTCGAGCGCGAGACCAGGCTGAGGAGAAGATGAGAGGAGAGGAAAAGGAGGAGAATGAAAGTGAGGGGTAGGGAGGAGGAGGGAGGAGGAGGGAGGAGGAGGGAGGAGGAGGGAGGAGGAGGAGGAGGGAGGAGGAGGAGGAGGAGGGAGGAGGGAGGAGGAGGAGGGAGGAGGGAGGAGGAGGAGGAGGAGGAATAAGAGGAGTTAGGATGAAGATATCGACCTGAAACCCGAAGGAGCACCAGAAATCTGAAGATCTTCATCGCAAGAGATGAAACCTGAATTCAAGGAAAACATATCTCCCCTCCCCCTCCCGCTCCCTATTCCTGCTCCTGGTCCTGCTCCTGCTCCTGCTCCTGCTCCTGCTCCTGCTCCTGCTCCTGCTCCTGCTCCTGCTCCTGCTACTCCCTCTCCTGCTCGTGTACCTGCTATAACGACATATTCATACCTCTCTGGGGTCTCCCTTCGCCTGACTCTAGTTCCTGTCCGCTCTCCTATAGAAGCTCTACCCGAGTTTCCTCTCCTCGACCATAAGACATTTCTGCATTTCCTGACCTGGCGAGAGGTCTTGATACTCTTCGGGGCTGATCGCTCATTTCAAGTCCCAATCTGTAGTACCC